TAAATATGTGTGTGTTTGTGTTTTAATCCATTTCTTATAAGAGAAGGACATTGTACCCTGTATATATGTACAATACTGTTAAAAAGTTTGGGGTTGGTAAGATTTTTAAAAATGTTTTTGAAAGAAGTCTCTCATGCTTACCATGGCTGCATTTTTTAAATTCAAAATAGATCAATAGCAAAACCGCAAATATTACTACAATTTAAAATAACTGTTTTCTATTTTGATATTTTTAAAAATTAAATTTTCTTGTTCTGATGACAAAGCTGTTTCTTTTCAACAGCTGTTATTCCAGTCTTCAGTGTCACATGATCATTCAGAAATCATTCTAATATGCTGTTGTGATGCTCAAGCAATCTGTATTTCTCAAAAAAAAAAAAAGAAAAAAACTTGCTGACCTCAAACTTTTGAATTGTAGTATATATTTGCTAAAAGCTTTTAATTTTTATTTATTAATATGATTTATTTTTCTTTTTAAACAGTGTTCAGTGCCTTGCCTCACTTGTAACAATCTTTTCAGATCTCAGTTGTTTGATCTTTTCTCCCCACTTCTCCCCTCCTTGCAGGAAGCGCTAGAGTCAGCCATGCAAAGTGGTCTTTTGGGGTCATGCTTTATTTCTGGCCAGCAAAATGGACAGAAGATCCTACAACACAATGCTTAGCAGGTTTGTAGCACTGCAAAAGATGATTGACACTGCCATTACCAGAGGGACATCGACCAGTGCAAGCAAACATATGTCTATGTCATAGCAGACTGAATATTTATGTATGTGTTTGACAGGTTTATATGCAGTCTGGCTCCTAGTGACCCTCTGCAAACCCTTTTCCAGCTGCTCTCTGGGAAGATTTCAGCTGTTCTCATGGTAATCTACAACATTTTATGCTCACGTTTGTTTATTGTAATTAAAGGCAATTGATTGCTCTCATGTTGTTCTAAACCCTTTTGTTGTTATTTTATCTGTGGAGTGTCAAATGAGAAATTCGAAGAATTTGTACACAGTTCATAAAACGCAACAGCTTGTAGTGACTTCATCATGCTGATTGATGGACAGAGGCTAGATGCAGTTTTGTTTTTTTGAGAAATGTAATTACAATTTTGAGTAACAATTTTATTTATTTAGATTTTAGTTTAAGTTTACAGCATTAGCCCTGGCTAGATGCAAGCTTCATTTGATGTTAACGTTGTAGCTATGATACGGCTTTGAAATAGACTACCATTCAAAAGTTTGGGGTCAGTAAGATATTTAAAGAAATTAATACTTTTTTTCAGCAAGAATGCATTAAACTGATCAAAAGTAAAAGTAAAGACTGTAACAAAAAATGTATTTCAATGATTTTCTTTTAAACTTTATATTCATCAGAAAATGTGGTTTCTACAAAAATATTAAGCAGCACAACAATAAGAAATATTCATTAAGCACTAAAACAGCTTATTAAATGATTTCTGAAGGATCACGTGAAAGCTTTACCATCACAGGAATACATTTTAAAATATTTTACAATATTACTGTTTTACTATATTTTTGATCACATGAATGCAAACTTGGTGAGCATAAGAGACTTCTTTTAGACACATTAAAAAAATCTTACCGACTTCAAACTTTTGAACAGTTACTTGGAATGTAGTGCTTCCATAGTGTTTTTGTTGTTGTTGTTGTTATTTTGATAAATGTACTGCTAAGCTGTGCAATTCTTTTTCAAAATTTCCCATTTTATGCTTTATTGAAAAAACAGCATATGGATTTGGAGCGACATGAGAGTGAGATAATAATGATAGAATTTTGAATGAATTTTGAATGAATTGTTCCTTTAAACAGAAGTGTAATACATATCTCTCCAGTCACACCTCATGTGAAAACTATTATTTACTCAAAATTATCCTCTCTGGCTTTCTCTTCTAAGTGTTTTAATTGTGCTCTCCAATTCTACTTTTCAGTCCTGGAGTCATGAGAAGTGGGGAGACTGTCGACCAGTTCTCCTCTGACCAGACAAAACCAGCATGGTGTGGTTTATTTCCAGGCTGCAACACAGGTCAGATTGTGCAGAGGACTTGACTGGTTCCCGTGGTCTTGTCCCGATAGCCGTCTAGTTGACGATGTCTTCGCAGGGGATCTGTCTCTGGGGCTCATCTAGTTGACATGGTCTCCGCTGACATTCAGGGCTGTAGAGGTCGTCTCTAGGTGCTGATCCACCATCTGGGCTGGATACGTACTGGATCTGGTGGCTACAGTGACCTCAGAATAAGAATGAAACAGACTAATTTTAGTGTAGATGCCATTCTTCTTAGGATGTAATGAGTACCTTGGGTGTTATGGGAAGTGTTCCTGATTCTGGTTGACCTAATTAATGCAGCCTAACAATCCTTTAACGGATTTGAATAATAGAAATGTGATAAGTGTGTTATGTGTATGCCAGGTTAAAGAGATGGGTCTTTAATCTAGTTTTAAACTGCCAGAGTGTGTCTGCCTCCCAAACAATAGGTAGATTGTTCCAGACTTTAGGCGCTAAATAGGAAAAGGATCTGCCACCCACAGTTGATTTTGATATTCTAGTAATTATCAAATGGCCAGAGTTTTGAGATTGCAGTGGATATGAAGAACTATAATGTGATTTTTGCTCGCTCAAGTACTGAGGAGGCCATTCAGGGATTTATAAGTAATTAGCAAAATATTAAAATGTATACGATGTTCAATAGGGAGCCAGTGCAGAGTTGACAGAACCAGGCTAATATGATCATAATTCCTGGTTCTAGTAAGAACTCTAGCTGCTGCATTTTGGACCAGCTGGCGTTTGTTTATTAAGTGCGCAGAGCAACCACCCAATAAAGCAGTACAATAATCTAACCTTGAGGTCATGAACACATGAATTCACTTTTCTGCATTTGACATTGAGAGCATAGGACATAATTTAGATATATTTTTAAGATGGCAAAATGCGGTTTTACAAATGCTAGAAACATGACTTTCAAAGGAAAGGTTGCTATCAAATAGCACACCTAGGTTCCTAACTGATGACGAAGAATTGACAGCACAGCCTTCAAGTTTTAGACAGTGTTCTAGATTATTACATGCAGAGGTTTTTGGTCAGTTAATTAACACCTCTGTTTTTTTTTCAGAATTTAGCATTAGGAAATTACTAGTCATCCAGTTTTTTATATCAACTATGCATTCTATTAGTTTTGCGAATTGGTATGTATCGTCAGGCTGCGAAGAAATATAGAGCTAAGAATCATCAGCATAACAGTGAAAGCTAAAACCATGTTTCCTAATGATATCTCCCAAGGGTAGCATGTAAAGCATAAAAAGCAGTGGTCCTAGTACTGAGCTTTGTGGTACTCCATACTGTACTTGTGATCAATATGATACCTCTCCATTCACTACTATGAATTGATGACGGTCAGATAAGTAAGAATCATGACAATGCAATTACATTAATGCCAACATAATTTTGTTGTCTACTCAACAGAATGTTGTGGTCGATAGTGTCAAACGCAGTGCTAAGATCCAGTAGCACTAATAGAGAAATACAACCACAATCAGCTGATAAGAGCAGGTCATTTGTAACTCTGATGAGAGCAGTCTCTGTACTATGATACGGTCTAAATCCTGACTGGAAATTCTCACAGATACCATTTTTCTCTAAGAAGGATACTACCTTTTCTAGCATTTTTGACAGAAAAGGGAGATTTGAGATTGGTCTGTAATTAACTGATTCTCTAGAATCAGTTTTTTTAATGAAAGTAAATAAAATAACAGCCAGTTTAAAGGATATTGGGACATATCCTAATGACATTGATGAATAAATAATATTCAGAAGAGGATCTATGACTTCTGGAAGCACCTCTTTTAGTAGCTTAGATGGAATAGGGTCTATCATACATGTTGGTTTTGATGATTTGACAAGTTTATAAAATTCTTCCTCTCCTATAGCAGAGAATGAGTGGAATTGTTCCTCAGGGGATCTATAGTACACTATAGCTGATATAGCTGATAGTATATATATATATATATATAACTATATCTGATGTGATACTGTAGCTGACAGCTGCATGGTTAGAATTTTATCTCTAATAGTATCGATCTTGGAAGTAAAGAAGTTCATAAAGTCATTACTGCTGTGTTGTTGGGAAATGTCTGCACCTGTTGATGCTTTATTTATTTATTTGTTTTTTGTTAATTTAGCCACTGTATTGAATAAATGCCTGGGGTTGTGTTTGTTGATTGGTCTGTAATTAACTGATTCTCTAGAATCAGTTTTTTTAATGAAAGTAAATAAAATAACAGCCAGTTTAAAGGATATTGGGACATATCCTAATGACATTGATGAATAAATAATATTCAGAAGAGGATCTATGACTTCTGGAAGCACCTCTTTTAGTAGCTTAGATGGAATAGGGTCTATCATACATGTTGGTTTTGATGATTTGACAAGTTTATAAAATTCTTCCTCTCCTATAGCAGAGAATGAGTGGAATTGTTCCTCAGGGGATCTATAGTACACTATAGCTGATATAGCTGATAGTATATATATATATATATATAGCACTATATCTGATGTGATACTGTAGCTGACAGCTGCATGGTTAGAATTTAATCTCTAATAGTATCGATCTTGGAAGTAAAGAAGTTCATAAAGTCATTACTGCTGTGTTGTTGGGAAATGTCTGCATCTGTTGATGCTTTAGGTTTCGTTAATTTAGCCACTGTGTTGAATGAACGCCTGGGGTTGCTTCTAAAAGAAGTAAGCAGATCTTGCAGTTTTTAGAGCTTTTCTAAAAGTAGAAGTACTTTCCCTCCATCCTCCATGAAATACCTATAGTTTTGTTTTGTTCAAGCTGCACTCCATTTTCTGGGGTGCTCTCTTTAAGGCACAAATGTGCTCATTATACCACGTTGTCTGACTTTTTTCCTTAATCTCTTTAAGTGTAAAGGAGCAACCATATCTAAAGTGCTAGAAAAGGGAGAGTCCATAGTTTCTGTTACAACATCAAGTTTTTCGGAGCTATCGGATATGCTGAGGAACTGAGACAAGTCAGGAAAATTATTTACAAAGCAGTCTTTTGTGGTTGAAGTGAGG